TCCATCTTTCAATAGGATCATGGATGATCTGATATTCTTCACGTCTATTTTCCTGCGCTTACCCCATGACCCTTGATTCCCTGACTGATCAAGAATTTATCTATCTCAGCCTTAAAATATACACAAGGACTCTAGTCCTTCAGCTCTCTGTGGCAAGGATTTCCAGAGACTCAACTCACAATCCTCCGAGAGAATCTTCCTTATCTCAATCTTAAATTGGTGTCCCTTAATTCTGAGACTATGCCCTCTAGACCTAGATTCTCCCATAAGAGAAAACACCACCTGGCATTTACACTGTTGAGTCCCTTACGAATCATGTGTGTTTCAATAAGATTACTTCTTACTCTTCCAAACTCCAGTGAGTAGAATCCCAACCTGTTTAACCTTTTCTCATAAGACAATCCCTCCATACCAGGATTATCCTAGTGAACCTTCTCTGAACTGCCTCCAATAAAATAATGTCTTTTCTTAAATAAGGGAATCAAAATTGCTTCTAGTACTGCAGATATGGTCTCACCAGCACCTTATACAGTGCAATAAGACTTCCTTACTCTTAGACTCTAAACCCTTGAAATAAGGACTAACATTCCATTAGCCTTCCTGATTACCTGCTGCACCTATGCTAGCTTTCTGTGTTCTGTGCATAAGTTCCCTCAGTTCCCTTGGTGTTGCAGCTTTCTGCAACTTTTCTCCATTTAAATAATATTCTTTTCTTGTTCTCCCCTTCAAAATGAACAGCTTCACATTTTCCCACATTATACTCCATTTGCCAACATTTTGTCCATTTACTTAACCTATTAATATCTCTGTAAACTGTTTATATCCCTTTTGAAACCTGCCTTTTCACCTATTTTTGTCGTCTGTAAGTTTGGCTACAGTACATTCACTTCCTTCCTCCAATTCATTAATATATACTGTAGATAGTTGTCATTCCAGCACTGATCCCTGTGAAACTCCATTGGTCATTGGTCACCAACCTGAAAAAGAAGTCCTTACCCTCACTCACTGTTTCCTACCCATTAGCCAATTCTTTATCCGTGCTAATATACTAACTCCAAAACCATGGTTTTTTTTTCATATGACTTAACCTTTTGGTTGGCATCTTGTCAAATCACTTCTGGAAGTCTAAATATAACACATCTACTGGTTCCCCTGTATCCACTCTAGTTGAGGCTCCCTTGAAAAACTGTAATAAATTAGACAGAGATGATTTCTCTTTCAGGAAGCCATGCTGACCCTACTTGATAAGATTATGATTTTCCAAATGGTCTGCTATTACTCCCTTAATAATTGATTCCAATACTTTTCCAGAAATAGATATTATGTTAATCGGCCTATAGTTACCCATTTTTTGCCTCCTTTACTTTTTAAATAGGGGTGTCACATAAGCAGTTTTCCAAGCTTCTGGTACTTCTTCAGAATTCAAGGAGCTTTGGAAAATTACAACCAATACATCCACTATCTCTGTAGCCACCTCTTTTAGGATCCTAGGATGCAAGCCATCAGGGCTGGGGGACTTATCTGCCTTCATCCCCACTAGTTCATCTAATAGTACCTCTTTAGCGATGGTGATGATACGTACTTCCTCGTCATATTCTTTAGTATTCATGGGATGCTTGAAGTATCTTCCACTGTAACAACTGATGCAAAATATGTGTCCTCTGCCATTTCCCTGTTCCCCATAACTGTTGCCCCAGAATCACTTTCTAAGGGGCCTTTGTCTATTTTGACTTCCCACTTCATTTTCATACATTTAAAGAAGCTCTTACTCCAGCTTTCATATTCCTGGCTAGTTTGCCCTTGTAATTTATTTTTTCCACCTTTATTATCTCTTTAGTCTTCCTTTAGGAATTCTGAATTTATCCCAGCTTCAGAGCTATTACTGACTTTTGCCTCCTCATATGCTTTATCTTTCAACTTACTACTCTCCTTAACTTCCTTGGTTAGCCATGATTGGTTTATCCCCTTCTTAGAATCTTTCCTCCTTACTGGGATGTATATGAATACCAAATATCAGTACAAAGTCTATCTTCATTAATCAATCTCCTGGTCTAATTTTTGAACTCATTTGAAACTCTCACATCCCACATCTTGGTAAATCTCTTCTGAACCCTCTCCAGATTAATAATTGAGGGCTAAGTCTAGATGGGATATTGTTTGGAGGGTCATTGAGACTCAAAGGGGCCAAATGGCCTCCTGCCACACTGTTATGATTCTATGTTACAAGACTTCACTGGAGCAGGTGGGATTTGAACCCAGGTCTCCTGGCTCTGAGGTAGAGACACAACCACTGCACATCAAGAGCCCAATTAGTTCTAAGTGAGCTTAAGTCAATCAGGGCAATAGGAAGAGCATTAGAACTGGCCACAGTATCACTTGGCTCAGGCAGGTTCCCACTAATGATAATATCCAGCTGCTACTGGAAAGTGCATTGGCGGTGGCAAAGATTCAAGGAAGCAACAGGATAAATGGTAATGGCCTGCCATAACTTCCAGTCTTGACTTGCATATAAAGGATGACCACTTTGGCACAGTAGCAAAGACTGTCAGAATCTGCAGAATCATATCCTAGCAACCAAGCTATTGCCTTCAGGAAATGAAGAAGTGGAGGGAAATTAGAATTGCAAAGTTAAACGAATTCTTACAGAGAATATGATCCGTTGCCATGACTGTGTTTGTTACCTAACACAGTCCAACTTGAATGTTAACCTGGAATCCAAACTATTTGGTCAGAGGAAACTAATGAGACATTGGAATTAAAACTCCAAAGTCTTTTAAAAATCAATTTAATCCCATTATTATCCATCGAGCAACAGTTTCCATAAAGTAACCAAGAGTCAAATCCTCTCCCCATTCAAGTGGAATTCTCTCATTTAAACAGCTGCTTCACATTTAGCTAGCTTATGATATTGGGACAAACCCCTTGGCCAAAGTAACAATCAGCTCCTTACAAACTATTAGTTTCTTTATAGATTACCTATGTTTTTTTCAGCTTCTACAAGCAGTATTATTAGAAATTACCCTGAAATTCAGTCAAACAACATTAAATTTGTTGCTTTTTTTCCCTCTTAATTGGCTTGAGGCAGTAAAATGTTTGAAAGGAAACCACATAATTTATCCTATTTCATGTAATATCCTGTCATGTTTTATAGTTAATCTGAGTGTTATTGTAATTTTATTTAATTCTGGTTTCGTGTACAATATCATTAAATCAAACATCCAAGAAAAACATTGATTTCAGCCAACTCTGACTTTAAAATCTTTGAGGTAATTGTTGTGAAGTTTAATATTATTTGATAGACAAATTAAGAGTTGGAATGTTAGCAGTGAGCTAAACGTTCCTTTTATTTTGATAGTGACGGCCCCTGTTGCACTTTGTGGTGAAGAGGCAACATACCCTCACTCTCTGACTGCTCGTAAATCTATATTAAATATATCTAGAGAGACATCTAGCTGGCACAGGCCTTAAGCAGCCAAGACTCCAGCAAACAGAAAAACTGACATTACTTTATGAATTACAATGAAGCTAAATTTTTTACCTTCCCCTATAAGCGATGACCCTTGCTTAAGCCAAAACAATGATTGCTGGCAGGAGCTATTCCATCATGAGAACACCAACTTCAAGTCAAATTCTACCCTTGTGTTCAGGCATAGACAGACAGACAGACAGACGGGCGCGCGCGCGCACACACACACACACACACACACACACACAAATATATTCCAGTATTAGTCAATAAAAGCAGGAATGCCTTCTGCTTTTACAACCCCAAAACAGGATATTAAAGTCAGTTATAGCATCTCTACTATCATCCCAAATGAGATCTGCTAACACATAGCACATCTGGGCTTCACCTGTATAGTATAGCTGCTCAATTCATCAAGGTGTTGAATTATCGGTAGAAGGTCAGTGGGTGGGACTGCTCACTCTCTTTATCATTTCAAAAAAAAAATATGGTGAAAGACATTCTGAAATATTTTGTGTAGCCCTTGTTATAAAGTCTAACGAGAATTTCACTGAGCCTAAGATTGACATGTTAATTCAAACTAAGCATGGCTTATGTTGGGTAAAAACATTCTCTTTCTCTGGTAGTTTAACGATTATCAAGGTAGTACAAGACAAGCAATATTGGCATCAGTTGCAGCAATGTATTAATCCAAAGTCATTGCAGGCGGGAAGTGCCAACCCCATACAATGAGATTTACTGACTGTTTTAAAACCAAGAAACTGGTTAAACTAAAATGAGTGGTTAAAACACCTACAGAAGCAACAAGAAACACAACACTGCTACAACTGTTTCAGAAAAAAATCTTAAAAAGCTGGAAATACTTAGTAGGTCTGGAAGCATCTGTGAAGAACAAAACAATTTACATTTCAGGTTTGTGGTTTTTGTCAAATTGCAACTGAAAAGCTGACTTAGTAACTTCCTTATGCAACCTAGCTGAAGCCGAGGGCTCAAAGTGTAAGAAATTGCTGTTGGTAACCATGCCCATTCACTCCATTAAGCAGTATGTGGTAACAATCCGGAGAATTGTTGCAGTGCAAAATGCTGTAACTGAGAACTTAAATAAAGTTATCAACACTATCCAAAGGGTCCACGCTTTGTACCTATTAATCTGCAAATGTTGTGCGTCATGTGGTCAGTATGTTCATTGACAGAATGCATAACAGGAAAAACACAAAGCAGGCACATTGTTATAATGAGATATGTGTCTTAACTCATCCTTTCAAATTTTCATACAGCTGCCATTAGTTATAGATCAGTAATCACCATTAGTTTACTGTAATCTGTTATACACCTCAAAGTGTGCTCTCAAGGCACATATAAATTTGGTAGGCCAAAATCTAATTCTATCTTGCTGGGTATTCTCTATATTTCAAATTTAAGAGACACAGTAGGGCTCATTTCTACTGCCAGCAAAAAGCCTCAGGAAATTAACCAAAACAACAGTATCTCTGCTGTCATACTTTAGTGGAACTGCAATGACAACTAGGCTTACCATGCACTTGTTAGGCTTCTCTCCTGAATGAACTCTCATGTGTATCAGAAGCTTGTAGCGAGCATTAAAGGGTCTGTACCGCCTCACGCACCCAGCCCAGAAACAAGTAAAGTCCTCTCCTTTACGCTGATCAATGTGCACTTTCTCGATGTGTCTCACTAACTCCTCTTGCTGGTCATAGACTGCGTTGCAATCTATCCATCGACAGATCTGCTTCCCATTGTTCTTGGGCAACTCATTTCCATCATCAATCTGAATGTGTCCGTTGGCTGGCAGCCCATGCAAGTGGTGTATGGTCCCGTGGGGCTGACCAAAATGCTGCTGGGAATGATATGGGGGAGGTGGCCCATGGTGTTGCTGAAACAGTTTTGTATCATGCGTATATTCATCAATAGGTTCATGCTTGAAAACGTTTATTTTATGGCAACCATCTGCCACTCCATGTTGAACAACCATATTGCCTATTACTAGTCCGAGGTCCATGTTATCCTCAGTTTGTTGCAAAGGGACAGGCTCAGCTTCAGTACCCTCTTGCTCGGCACGGCGTGTTGGGAAAGAGGACAATGATGATGCAGGAGAAGTCAAGTTACACTGGCTGTCTAACACAGAGCAGGACTGTGGACTGCAGTTCTTTCGAGCTCCTAAATGCCCAATTCCTCCAGAAAGAGGGAACAGACCATTGGGACTGCCCCTCATTCCATTGACACATGCAATAAGCGATGTTGGAGAGGTGCGAATGATTGCTGTGATGTCCAACCCTTCAGCTGAAAGGGGTGATATTGAAACCGATCGTTTCTTTGTATTGACTGGCTGTAACTTGGCCATGTGACGAGCATTACCACTTGACATAAAGCCCAGCGTGGAGCCGGAATCATCATTGAAGAAATATGATGAATAAGAACTAGAGAAGTTGCTGTTCAGTAACTCAGGTTCTGAAGGCAGATTGTTGGTATCCCCAACCTCTGAATGACTGGAAACTCTTTCGCTCTCAGAGAGGAGATGTGACCATTCCTGTTTTATCTGTATGTTTGGAAGATTTTCCTCCAAATGCAGACTATTGGGAGCCAATGAAGTTTGAGAGGTGAGAGGCCTGAAACAACAACAGCCATAAACATACTGAGACTTCATTCTAACATAAATAGATATAAACATTACTCTTTGCCAATCATCTGCTTTATTGCAGTTGAAGTTTTATTTTTATTTCATAAGTCCCTTTCAGTATGAGGCATTCCCAAAAATAAATACAGAGACAATTAATATTTCTGAATTTTCTAATGTCTTCTTTCTGTGAAAGATATTGAATATTACATCACTATGGGTTCCGTAAAAATTATCAAAATGATCAAAACCAAATGGTAGTTTATCTGTAAGCTGTATCAGCTTGTTCTAAATCACAATAGTCATAATAATAAAATAATGCTCCTTGATCCATTTACAGAATAGCAATTGGCACTCTTTGTAATTCTTGCATTCTTCTGAAATGAGGTAGTACTCTGGTGCTTTTGAAACACAATTGTTTCCCACAGAAAGTGTAAGATTTCCACAAATGATGAGATTAGTGGGTGTGATACAGAGCCAGACAAAAACAAGAAATGTCCCAAGCATAGCTTCTGATCTGTCCAGAGTTAATTAATCTTAGCCTGGGTAGCAGGGAGAGCGACAGCTACAATTTGTCTCAGTATCACTGAGCTAAAAAGGAAAAAATTACCAGGATTTCTCTTTTTTGAACACTATATGACTCCTGTGTTGGTGTGAAAGTATCGATAGGGGTGAGTCTAGGCAGCTAAGTCCATTGTGGTCAAACAGCACTTGTCATCTAGGGGCACACATGAAGAATAGTTCCTTGGGTGTTCTGTACGGTATGTGCATAATGTTAGTTGTAAAATAGCTGACCCCTGTTGGGAAAAATTGTATTGTAGCATTGGTTTATTTTGTTGATGGGCTATTAGGGGGCATTATTGCTGGTTAGGTCAGCATTTATTGAGCATCTGTAGTTGCCCTGGAGAAGGTGGTGGTGAGCTACCTTTTCCAACTGCTACAGTCCATGTGGTATAGATAGATTCACAGTGTTGTAATAGAGGGAGTTCCAGGATTTTGAACTACCATAGTGAAGAAACTGCAGTACATTTCCAACTCAGAATAGGGTGTGGTTCAGTGCTGATCTGCAGCTCTTGTCCTTCTATCCGGTAAAAGTCACAAGTTAGAAGGCGGTACAGCACATCTTGTGGATGGTACACATTGCTGCCAATGTACACTGGCGATGAAGGAAGAAAATAGCAAAGGTCGTGGATGGGGTGCCAATGGAATGGGATGCTTTGTCTGGATGGTGTCAAGGTTGCTGGGTGTTATATGAGCTGCACTGTCCAGGCAAATGGTTAGTATTCATCACAATCTTAACTTGTGCCTTGTAGGTAGTGAACAGTTATTGGGCAGACATGAAGTGAGTCATCAACATACAATTCCTAGCCTCAGACCTGTTCTTGTTGCCACAGTATTAAATGGCAGACCCAGTTCAGTTTCTGGTCAATGGTAACCCCCAGGATATCGATAGTGGAAGATACTGCAATGGCAATGCCACTGGACATCAAGGGGATATGGTGAGATTCTGTCTTGCTGAAGATGGTCATTAACTGGAACTTGTGCAGTGCAAGATTAGTCCGAATGTCTAAAAACAATGCCAAAGGGGACTGGTCTGAGAGAGTGAAGACAGCATGTAAGGGAAGAGGCCCGAGAGTCTCAAAACAACATGAGAGGGGAGACATTTGAGAGAGTGACAACATCACAAGAGTGGTAGGGTTTAAGAGGATGAAAACAGCACAAGAGGAAAGAGATTCGAGAAATTGAAACCAGCATGCGGGGAAGAGACCCAAGCATCTGAGATCAAGTGAGTTTCTCCTGCTTTTTTGGTTCTCTCTCCACCTTCTGTAAACCCAGTCTTGCCAACATCCCCTCGAAGCTGCATTGCGGCATGCACACACAGCCGCTGCAAGGTTCCATGCACAGCGACTGGCATTGGAACACCAAACACAGCTGCTGCACATGGAGCTTGGAGGCCTGTGCAGCCAGAAAGAAAATTAAAGGGAACACTGAGTCTTGCAGCTTTGTGGTTTAGGACATGACCAGCTTGGTCTGTAGTGACCAAGCTACTCATCATGATGGATACTGAAATCCAGATTCGGTTCCCTTGCCATCCTTAGTGCTTCCTCCAACTAGTGTTCATCAGCCAAAGTGGGGAGAAAGATGGCAATTAGCAGGTTTCTTTGCCCATGGTTGACCTGATGTCATAAGACATGATGGAGGCAATGTTGAGGATTCTCAGGGCATCTCCTTACAAACCATACATCTATATGCACACACCTCTGGTGGGTCTGCCTGTATAGAACAGGGCAGGAATAGTAATGGTGGTGTCTAACATAATGTCTGTAAGTAATTATCCATGAGTATGACTATGTCAGACTGTTGCTTAAATGGTCTATAGGAGGGCTCTCACAATATGGCACAAACCCCAGATATTATTATGAAGAATTTGCAGCTTCACAGGGCTGGGTTTGTTCTTGTTTCTGATAGGTATGTAGATGCCAGATATATAGGATACAGACAGTCTGTTCCTTTCTTTAGACATTGTAGCAGTTTTCATACAACTGATTGGCTTGCTAGGCCATTTCAGAGGAGCAGTTGGGAGTCAACCACACAAAAGCAGTTAGGTAATAACATACCAATGTTTTGTTAATTGTACATAACACAAAGGAAAATTGATGCTTCATGTAACTTAAATTAAACTTAAACTTTCCTAACAGGTATCTATCAATCTCACTCTTTGACCAGTTTCACAAGTGTATTATATAGAACTGAAGTGAAAGATGCTTAAAAAATTGCTACAAATTCTACTTGGAAGTTACTTTAAGTCAGCACATCCTTTCACAGTGACCAGCAAGCTTGTAAATATGCAGGAGTTCGACAAAATCAGAAAGGAAGATAAGTTCACAGCTCAGTTCAGAATCTTCATCCACATACATATCTTTGACACACACAGAATACATTACGGCAGCAGAAAATAACCTGGTATCGGAGTGAGGGGCAGTCAGCCTGGTACTGCCATGGGATGAACTCGGGTCTGTACTGATATGATTTCCTGAATGAATCACTGGCTCCAATCTGGCTGTTGCTATTGGCTCATTCCTCATGGCATGGTTCATTTCATCTCTCTTGCTGGATAGAACATAACATGGGCTGTATCCACCATTTGCTGTAAGAAAATTAAAAGCAACCAGTGTGAGATTTCTTCTTCTACAGAAATCCAGAAATAAAACCACTGCAACCTACACAGCTATGTTTTGGGTTTATGGCTTACTAAGCAAGTTTGAGATAGTATTAACATGAAAGAACAAGGGTACCAGTCTGCAAAGATGAGTGGCAGGTCAGAGATTGGATAGAGTATAAAGAACAGCAAGGAATGACTGAAAGGCTAATGACGGGGGGTGGCAGAATTAGAGGACAAAAGAAAGTGAGCTTGAAATGTAAAAGCACTTAGTAAGAGTTTCCAAGACATTTTAAAAAGCAAAGAGTAGGTAAAGTGAGTGTTAGTCCTCTAAAGAGTGAATCTAAGGAATTAACGATGGAAAATAAAGAAAGAGTGAATGAAATCCACAGATATTTTGTGTCTGACTTCACTATACAAATAACATCCCAGAAATACATGTGAATGAGATGGTGAAAAGGACAGAGGAACTTCAAACAACTACAATAACCACAGAAACGGTACAGAGAAATTTATTAGAACTAAAAGCCGAAAAGTCCCTAGATGGATTTCAACCAACATAATCGAAGACACCTCCCCCACCCGTTATACTCTCTTCCACCCTCTTCCATTGGGCAGAAGATATAAAAGTTTGAATTCACGTATGAACAGATTCAAAAACAGCTTCTTCCCCACTGTTACCAGATTTTTGAATGGACCTTTCAACTGTTAATCCTGATCTCTCTCTCTGCACCTTCTCTGCAGGTATAACACTGTATTCTACACTCTGTTCTACTATCCTTATGCACTTTGTATGAGAAGATCTGCCTATATATCCCACAAAACAACAATTTTAACCAACAAACAAACAAACATGGTAGAGTCTGAATAGAAGTGGCTGCAGAGAATTTTAGATCATTGGTTAGAATTTTCCAAAATTCCCTAGATTCTGAAAAGATATCAGATTGGAAAATCGTAAATGACGTTCCATTCTCAATAAGAGGAGACAGAAACTATGAAACCCCAGGCCAGTTAGCTTAATACGTGCCATGGGAAAAATGCTGCCATCCATTTTTCAGGAGGTTAATCGCGGACTTAGAAAATCTCAATAAGAACACAAAAGAATTGCATTTGATGGAAATCTGAAATAGAAAAGAAATTGCTGGGAAATGGCAGCAGGTCTAACAGCATCTGTGGAGAGAAGTCAGAGTTAATGTTTCAGGTCCAGTGACCCTTCTTCAGAAGCCGCCTTTAGAAAATCACAACATCATCATGCAAAAGCAAATTGGTTTTGTGAAAGAGAAATAATGTTTAACTAATTTATTAGAATTCTTTGACAAAGTGGCAAACAACATGGATAAAAGGAAACTATGTATGTGCTGTACTTATACTTCCAGAAGATATTTGAAATCAAAGATTACTATACAAAATAAGAGCTTAAGGAGCAGGGGATAACATATGAGGGTCATAGCGATATACAGCATGAAAACAGGCCCTTCGGGTCTAACTCGTCCATACTGACCAGATATCCTATATAAATCTGAAGAAGGACAATTTCTGAAGAAGGGTCTAGACCCGAAATGTCAGCTTTCCTGCTCCTCTGACGCTGCTTGGCCTGCTGTGTTCGTCCAGCTCTACACCTTGTTGTCTCAGATTCTCCAGCATCAGCAGTTCCTACTATCTATATAAATCTAGTCTCTTTTGTCAACATTTGCCCCATACCTCTCTAAACCATTCCTATTCATATACCCATCCAGATACCTTTTAAATTTTGTAATTGTACCAGTCTCCATCACTTCCTTTGGCAGCTCATTCCAAACATGCACCAACCTCTCCCTTTAAATGTTTCCCATCTCCCCTTAAACCCACGCCCTCTAGTTTTGGACTCCCCCACCCCGGGGAAAAGACTTTGACTATTTACCCAATCCGTGTCCCTTATGATTTTATGAACCTCTTTAAGGTCACCCCTCAGCCTTCGACGCTCCAAGGAAAATAGCCCCAGCCTATTCAGCCTCTCCCTATAGCTCAAACCCTCCAACCCTGGCGACATCCTTGTAAATCTTTTCTGAACCCTTTCAAGTTTCACAACATCTTTCCTATAGCAGGGTGACCAGAATTGCAAACAGTATTCCAAAAGTGGCCTAACCAATGTCCTGTACAGCTGCAACATGACCTCCCTTCTCCTATACTCAATGCACTGTCCAATAAAGGTAAGTGTACCAAATGCCTTCTTCACTATCCTATCTACCTGCGACTCCACTTTCAAGGAGCTGTGAACCTGCCCTCCAAGGTCTCCTTATTCAGCAACACTCTCCAGGGCCTTACCATTCAGTATATAAGTCCTGCCCTGATTTGCCTTTCCAAAATGCAGCACCCCACATTTATCTAAATTAAACTCCAGCTGCCATTCCTTGGCCCATTGGCCCATCTGATCAAGATCCTGTTGTACTCTGAGGTAACCTTCTTCGCTATCCACTACACCTCCAATTTTGGTGTCATCTGCAAACTTACTGACCATACCTCTTATGTTCATATCCAAATCATTTATATGAATGACAAAAAGCAATGGACCCAGCACTGATCCTTGTGGCACACCGCTGGTCACAGGCCTCCCGTCCGAAAAGCAACCCTCCACCACCACCCTCTGTTTTCTACTTTCAAGCCAGCTCTGTATCCAGATGGCTAGTTCTCCCTGTGTTCCGTGTGATCTAACCTGGCTAACCAGTCTCCCATGAGGAACCTTGTCAAACGCCTTAAGTAGTCTATATTGATCACATCCACTGCCCTGCCCTCATCATTCCTCTTCATTACTTCTTCAAAAATTAACATGGACAGAGGATTGGTGAGCTAGCAGGAAGCAGAGAGTAAGCAGAAATGGATCATTTTCAGGTTTACAAGATTTGACAGGTGGAATGCCAGGGGGTTTAGCGCTGGGACCTCAACTGTGTATAATTTATATCAACTAAGGGACCAAAAGTATGGTTGCTACATATGTACACACACACAAAAACATAAATACACAAACACACACACACACTCAGAAACATGCGCACACTGTACGAGGAATAAATTCTGGTGTTGTTGTGAGGAGACAGCAATACAGTTGTATTGATTAGTGTACCTGAACAAGTATTCTGCTTTTGTCTGATTACCTCAGAATGTAAGAAAAAACTGAAGCAGAATTTTCTTTCAGGAGATTTAAAGTTGGGATACAGTCCATCGCAGGACAGACTTGGAGGGCCAAATTGCCCTTTCTCATTCCATTCTTTCTTATGTAAATAAATGTAATTTTTAATGCTGTCAAGGGTTTTAAAACATCACAGATTGCATGGTTAGAAAGTATATTAATAGCCATACACAAATAGAGGGAGCTTTTCAGAAAAATATTTAGCGTAATTTTTTAAACAACATTATTTTGGGAAAATTATTCTGACTTCAGACATGTGATTGGCACAGGGCATAAAGCAGCTACATTGTAACACAGGAATAGGTTTTTCTGTTCATTAACAGCCAGAGGTGCTGACTTCTCAAAACAAAAATCAATCTAGCTGTAACAGAGCACTGAGTGTACAGGGCCTGCGCGCTCCAACAGTTCAGAGGAATTGGCAGGTCACACAGTAATTTCATCATGGCACCACGCTAGTCCATCAAAGTATGGTGCCTGTCAATGAAAAGAGACTTGTGTCTGCAACTCAACTTGGGGTGCTAGGGATATAGCCAGCATTCAACTGGCCCAACTGAAATGTTTAAAGTTACTCTGGAAAAGCACTTAAAATGCAAAACACTTAATGTATTTAGCAATTAATAAATATAAAAATAGTCATGTCAACAATCCAATACACTTATTTCATACTGATATATTTGTCATTTTTGTGCGGATTCTTGGGATGTGAGTGTCATTGGTGGGGCCATCATTTATTGCCCATCCCTAAATACCCTTGAGAAAATGATGGTGACCTTCATAAGCCACTGTAGACAATGTGCGGTGGTTTGTTCACAGTGCTTTCTGTAATGGCTTGAAAAGTGTCCTGCTCAGGCATTTCAGAAGTCAGATAAGAATCAACACTTTTGCTGTGGATGTGGAGTCATATGAAGGCCAGATCGAGTCAAGATAGCAGGTTTCTTCCTCTGAGAGGCATTTAAGAACCAATTGGGTTTTTGTAATAATTCAGAAACTTCATAATTATTTTTGAGACTAATATTTCATGAGATTTATTAATTAATTGATAAATTCCACCATCTGGCTGCAGCGGGATTTAATTTAATGTCTCTAGAACATTAGTCTTACCTCCGGGTTTCTAGTTACGTAATACCATGCTACCATCCCTTGTCTTCACCAGAGCAACAAGGATAGCTCTACTCAGGAGACAGTTAAGACAGATTCAGAGTGGGTGAATGTTGAAGTTGTTTGGACACTTGTGAATGTTTCTCCTGTACAATTTTTAAAATATAATCCCAGAAATCCTTCAGTCAACCTTTTCTTTAGATTTTTAAAACCTAAATTTGCCAGCATCTAACAATTAGAACATAATTTTAGCCATGTCAGCTACTCTCCCAAGGAGCTCGGGCTGATAAATGGCAAGTAACTTTTGTCTCATATAAGTGCCAGGCAGCAATCATCACCAACAGGAGTGAATATAGTCATCCCCCCTGGATGTTCAATGGCATTACCATGACTGAATCCCCACCATCAATATTCTGGGGGATACCAAAAAATTAAACTGGAAGAGCTTTCAAAATGTCGTGGCTGCAAGAGCAGATTGGAGACCAGGAAATAGAGTCAGAGAGAAGTTCAGCACGGAAACAGACCCTTCGGTCCAACTCATTCCATGCCGACCAGATATCCTACATAAATCTAGTCCCATTTGCCAGCATTTGGACCATATCCCTCTAAACCCTTCCTATTCATACACCTATCCAGAAGCCTTTTAAATGTTGTAATCGTACCAGCCTCCTTGTTCTGGCAACTCATTCCATACATGCACCGCCCTCTGAG